CTACTTCCGGGTGAACGTAAACAAACCTGAGCACCCAAAATGGACCCGCGACAGGTTTTAATGATGTTGGAGACGTTACTGCACTCCCTGACTGAGCTACAGGTAATACAGATCATTTTGAGCTCTTTCTAAGTTTCTAGTAGAAATGTTGTGTCACTCACCGACCAGTTTTACTTCCCTGACATGCTAATATTATTAGCATTAGCCAGGCGGAAATGGCAAAGTCGCACATGCGCAGTCAGGTCAGTTTTTCACGATCAGATAAAAATGAACAGATCAAGCGTTTACATGCGCACCGATCGGGTTACGGATCGGCGTAAACCACCCGTTTCGTTCTGATTACAAATTATATCGGATCGAGCCGAATACACAAAAAATAACCCGAACGGAGAGTTTACATGACACACTTTTATTCCGACCGGCCATTTGATCCGGTTACTTATGTCCATGTAAACATACCCATTGAATGCAAACATGGCAGGAGAAGATTTAAATCTCAAGAAGCGACGTTCCACAAAGACGATCATCACATTTCTTAATTTGATATTCTATTTGTATTTGTCAATAGTGAACTTAGGTGTGCAAAAACTTATAAAAGAAGAATTAAATCTCAGGAAGTCCAACATTTCACTGATCACATCAACTCTGTGGAGAAATATATACAGTTCATATGAGAAGATGTAAAAAATGACAAGTTGTCTTTCTTGGACTGTGAGGTCTCAGTCTCTGATAGAGGACATTTGCAAACTGAGGTGTACCTCAAACCCACCCACACAGACCAGTATTTGCAGTTTGACTCCCATCACCCTTTGGAGCACAAGTTAGGAGTCATCAGGACTCTGTACCACAGAGCAGACAGCGTCCCCACTAGCTCAGGAGCCAGGCAGAAGGAGAAATCCTACACAAGACAGGCTCTAGAGCAATGTGGATATCCTAACTGGGCCTTCCTGAAAGTTCTAGTAGTTTTATCATCACATCACATGTGGTACATGAGGTGGAATGAAATTGTGTACACAGGGTCCCAGTTACATCCAACAATAGCAAAAATGTAAATTGTAAAAGAAACAGTAATAAGGGTCTAGCTGAAAAACAGCAGCACGAACATGAGTCTGAGTAGATGAGAAGAAACCCAAACAGGACCCCAGACCAGAGGTCATCCTGTTGGGGGAGTTTCAGAGAAACTGACATTTTGTTTTCCCAAACGTGACATCCATGGTCATCAGGGCACTAACGATCATTTGTTAGGCTGATGGTCCTCTTACATGTGAACAACTAGTTCTGGATGTTATCAGCAAACTGGTTGATCCACTGAAGGTGCTGCTTATAAGACTGAGTTTGTTGCAGCTCCTCACACTGAAGAAATCTTTTGGATAAAAGAGGAAACCTCCGTCCAGAGGACCCGCCTTAACTTTGTTACATATATTTAATGTTTCAGGTTAAATAGTAGCTTTGTCCTGAGTAGTGAGTCTGTTAGAGCTGTCATTTCTAACCCCAACCCGAAACCTAGCCCGACCCGGATTAGAGCCGGGCCGTTATAATGTGATTAATGGGCGGGCCGGGCTCAGGCTTTTAATTAGGTCAGTATCAGCCGTGATCCAATTATATGATAACATGGCCTGCCATACATTCACCAGCTGCATGTGGCCATTTCACCACGAGCTGACCGGCCTTGAAAGAGGTCAAAAGTTCAGTTGAGCTTCAGATGGGACTGTACTGCCAGGAAGTGATCCATCGCCCAAATGGACACTCATTCAGCCGCTGCACTCAGTGGACGCACGCGGCCGATGACCCAAACAGAAGAAGCAGCAGAAACTGGGTTTAAATACTTTGTATGGCCATGAAAGTACAAACACTTCTCTGCTCCGAATCGTTTGCCCCGTTCATTCAGCTGCGTGTCCCCCGACTGTTAATAACTAATTAAAATGTTCTGGGTTCGGACCTGTAATTGCTGTTAATTCGTCGGGACGGGTAGGGTTCGGAAATTATGACTGCGGACTAGGGCCAGATCAGAATTTTTTGGGCCTGAATGCAACTCCAGTCTGTGCGTAGTTTCCTGTTCGTAACATACAAACTTCTTGTTTGTTAAAGGCCGACTACAGATTCTGGAAGAACTGGGTTCAACCCTCCACACCAGTTTCTGTGTACAGGTACTACTGTAACAGAGGACACACTGACTAATAATTATAACATTTGTTCATCCATCATCCATGTATTGGATGCTTTTGTGACTTTTAGGCTATGTTGCCACATTATACACAATGTTTGATGCACGGTTCATGTTTTAAAGATTTTAGTGGTTAATCATTCGTCATACTGGTGACCCAGTGGTCTCCACAAAGACTATGCTCTGTACACTTGTGCAAACGTTGAAAACACTGAACCCCCTCAAAGCACTTGATCTTGAACTGAAAGACGAGTCAGGACGAGGTCTCACCTGTGTGTGTCCTCCTGTGTCTCTGCAGCTCGTCGCTCCGGGTGAACCTCTTCCCGCAGTACATCCAGTTGCAGACGAAGGGTCTTTCTCCACTGTGCCAGCGCAGGTGCGCTCGCAGGTGAGACGTCTTCCCGTAGACCTTCCCGCAGCCGACGATGTGGCAGATGTGCTGCTTCTTCTTGCCCGTGCCTGAGCCTCTGTGAGGCAGAGACATGTGACATCAGTAAAAGATTTGATCAAACAGAAGGAAAACGTCTGAAGATCAAACGGTGACGCCTCGTTGATTTCTTCTAACTACAGATGATTCTAACAGCTGGGCGTCCTGCTGCTCATCTCTGAGCGTGTGTTTTTTGAAAGGCCCACCTTCCTCCCGACTCTTTGCAGTTGGGGCAGGTGCAGGCCACTCTGCGGAGCCTCTTGCCCTCCCCACTCTGCGTCTCCATGTCCTCATCTCCGATCTGAACCCGCAGGTTGCTGAGGTCGCTGGGGTTCAGCGTGGAGTCGCCGCTCAACTGCCACTCCTCCGAGTCGGGCTCCTCCTTTATATGGATACCTGAACCAGGACGAGAGCCAACGAGACGATTTAGGAAGTCTGTCGATAAAAGAATCGTTTTCAGCTTGTTTTAAGATCTGAACAGAATAAAATTAAGAGTAGGATCTGCGGTCGTACCAGCTGGACTCAGTGTCTCATCTCCCTGCACGTACTGCATTCCACTTTGTGTAGCAGAGTTAACCGTGACCGTCTGGAGGTTGGGTAGGCCAACCTGGCCTGTCTGGACCGGGGCTAGGGCCAGTTGTTGGGCCTGACCCTGTCCTTGGGACAACTGCAGCCCCTGAAGCGACTGGACGCCTTGAACCTGAAAGAGACAAATCCAGTAAGCTGCAATAATTCACTGCACAGATTCTTCAACAGTTCGCTGTTCTGGACCACGACGGCGCTACCTGGAAGGTCTGCCACTGTATCTGTCCGGTGGGGGTGACAGTCTGGGCCTGGATGAGGAAGGTACCTGGATTGACCAGCTGCACGCTCTGAAGAGTCTGACCTGCTGCCGTCAGGTCCTGACCCTGAGCCACCTGGGCTACCTGGGCCTGACTGTCAGACAGCTGCAGGATGGACTGGGGGAGGGAGGCTGCGGTGGAGGAGGACACCTTCACAAAGAGGGGCGGCATTAGATTAATACAATGACATAACGATGTTATAAATACAAAGAATAACTTCAAGTTCAAGCTTCGACTCATTTAAAGTTGTTGGTAACCATCAGGATGAGCAAACACTGGAGGTTCGGTTACACAACTCTGCATCACACACGGACTCCAGGGAACTGGACCACTACACAAAATGTTTTACTAGTTTATCTGAACCCACTTGGGCTGCAAAGATCTACAAAAAGTAAAAACATAATATTAAAATACCTCCATGCCCTACCAGCAGGAAAATACATGATTTTAGGCAACAAGAAAACATCTGTGCACGTCTGTTACGGGACAACAGTGTAAAACATCTGCAAATCACTTACCTGGAATTAAAAAAAGTAATTATTAACGGACATTATAACTTAATCTACAAAATTAATAACTCGGAAACAAACCAAACAAGAAACTCAGTTTGTCTTTTATCGGAGTAATAAACCCTCGAGCAGCGAGTGGACTACAGAATTATTCCCTGATTATTTAATTTTTTTATTATTCAGAGCCTGAAGGTTTTGTGCAGAACACCGCCTCATGTCACATTTTAATCCTTGTGGTAATCAAACTGACAGAATAATCCCAACACTGGCAAACACACGTGCACCTAAAATAAAACACACGCAAACCTGGATTTGCTGCAGGTGGTTGTGGGAGTTGAAGTTTTCTGAAGAGGGATCAGACACGCCCGCAGACACAGCTGTTGCCTGGGTCAGAACCCCGGTGCCGTCTATGGTTTCAGGAAGCTGAGCGGAGTTGGAGGAGGACGTGGAGGTTGGCACGTAGAGCTCCTGGTTGGAGCTGGGGTTGCTCACTGTCACCGTCAACGGCTGCTTGGAGCCACCGTCCTGGCACTGATTCTCCAGCGCCTGGCTGCTCATAATCAGCTGGCCCTCTGGCGTTACCCCCGTCGCAATGGGTACCGTCTGAGCACCAGTCAGCCCCAGCGACTCCAGATCCACACTGTTTATAGGGACAAAGGTTATGTTGCTGGGCAGCCCTACGGGAAGGGTGCCGGCGTACGCCGAACCTCCAGCCAACGACACTCCTTGGATTGACTGGATCTGGCCCGCCTGTGTCAGGAGGTCCGTGGTTGCGGTCGTGGCGCAGCTGATTCCAATACTGCCTTGGCTGCCATCTTGGAGAAGCTGAATCTGACCCGTACCATCGTCCAGACCTTGTGTTGAGAATCCTGCAAGTGTTCCATCTGCATTTTGGAGCTGGGGGATGACCTAGAAGACAGGTTGTATGGGCACGATCAACACCCAAATACAAGCTCTGTCGCATCTTAAACCGAGTTTCACTTTTTTATTTTACCTGATACTGAATGCCCGTCACTCCATTGGCTGCAGCCTCACTCCCAGATGCTGTAACATAAATGGGCTGGTTGGGAAGACTACCAATCGGAAGCATGTACTGCCCATTGGATGTGACGATCCCCGAGTTTGGAATGTGGACGACTCCTTGATCTTCCTTCCCAGCTGAGACGGGAGTCAACACCTCCCACCTGTCCGACCCCGTCAGCTGGATGGCTGACATGTCTGTCTGGAGGGACAATCAACACTCAGATTAGATCCAGCTTCAGGTTACATAAAGGAAGACGGCAGCAACTTTCTGGCACCGTCTGCAGTGATCTGTAGAAGACATGAGGAGAGCACGCAGATTGGACAATCACAAACCAGAAGCAGCTTCCAACAAACAGAGTCAAGATAACAGGCTCGGAGTGGCAGGGAGTGGGGGATGGGTGGCTATTACAACACCACTGTAATGATTATGGACGCTGCTGCTCTTGCTACATTTTCCTCATCTTTGCCTCCTCCAGCCAAAAGGTGCTGGGCTATCTCCTCTGAGCCGACCCGAGTGACTGACTCCAGCGTCCTACCCACTATGGGCGGGTTTTACGGGGGTGAAGTGGGTGGCCGTTATTGAGGGGAACACAGGAAGTGTACGGCTTTCACCCCTTGTCATCAAAATCTTAAAACGTGTGAACTTGATGCTCTGAAAAGCACAAGAAATCGGTAGCGAGCGGAGTGAGAGGGTGCCGGGGGGATACCTGTGTTTCCGCCGCGCCGCCAGCTTGCAGAAACTCGCTTTGACTGCTGTCCACGTCCGCGGACGCCATTTCTCCTTGTTTCAGAGGCTGCTCTGGCGCTAGCAGGGAGAGAGGGGGAAACTGAGCAAAACTCTGTAATCTTCAACTCCTGCCAGCCAGAAAAGCCCGCAAAGCATCCCAACTCTCCAGGCCGAAAAAGAAAGGGCGACCGACTGCGAAACTCAAGTTTGCGGCGGAGACTGTGTGAAGATTTCGGCCCAGATCGACACTTTGTCAACTCTGAGGCTAGCAGTTAGCTAACCATAGCTAGCTAGTTAGCAGCGCAGCTAGCGATAAAAAGACGCAGCTCGCTTCGCAGCAGCTTTCACAAACTCACCGATTAGTTGCAGCTTCGGTGCGCCAAGTGTTTACGTATCAGTCATAGCGTGAACGGTAGTAAGCGGGAAGATTAGCGCATCAACTAAACTCCGAACATGATTATTTTATCAAAGGCGGGCTAGTGTTGATCGGTGAATTCGGGTCGATTTTTTTTTCTATTTTGATTGACGGTGCGGGAAACACAAAAAGGTGGGACTAACAGGCTTGACTGGCGAATTTGCGTCACATTGTCGGACGTCCCGCCTTTCTTCTCTAATCTTATTGGCTGAGCGGAGGTTCTCGCTAAACCTTATTGGCTGTTTGAGATGCCAATCAAATGTGGTCTTGGACGTGTGTTTCCTGTTTGTTGAGCGAATCCAGAGATGGAATGCAGATGTTTAAATTCTAACAAAGATGTCTGGAAACCAGCGCTGCTCGAATGTACAAACTGCATTATGTTGTCGTGTTTTTAAGGAAATAAAACTATATATCTCATTTGTTGTTTAAGACCTTTTTGCAGTTAGTTTCAGCTATAAAATAACGTGCTTTTTAAGTTACACCACAGTAACTTCAGCAGAAAATCAGTTCCTTTGAAGAGATCCACACATTACACACATTTTATCAAGATAGTTTTAACGTATCAAACCAATAAAAATGTGTCTACTCTAAAATAGTTGGCAAATTAAAATGGTTTTAAAAGAAAAAAGTAACGTTTTAACAGACCTGTTCTGTATATATATATATATATATGTATGTATATATATATATATATATATATATATATATATAAGTGTATATTTATATATATATATATACTTATATATATGTATATATATATTTATATATAAGTATGTATATATATATATATATATATATATATATACATAAGTTAATGTACAAACCGGATTCCAAAAAAGTTGGGACACTAAACAAATTGTGAGTAAAAACTGAATGCAATGATGTGGAGATGGCAAATGTCAATATTTTTTTCGTAATATAACACAGATGACAGATCAAAAGTTTAATCTGAGTAAATGTAACATTTTAAAGGAAAAATATGTTGATTCAAAATTTCACAGCGTCAACAAATCCCAAAAAAGTTGGGACAAGTAGCAATAAGTGGCTGGAAAAAGGAAATTGACCATATAACGAACAGCTGGAAGACCAATTAACACTAATTAGGTCAATTGACAACATGATTGGGTATAAAAAGAGCTTCTCAGAGTGTCAGTGTCTCTCAGAAGCCAAGATGGTAAGAGGATCACCAATTCCATCTTTGTTTCGCAGAGAGAGAGTGCAGCAATACCAGAATGGTGTTACCCAGCATAAAGTAGCAAAGACTTTTAAGTTATCATCATCAACTGTGCATAATATCATCAAAAGATTCAGAGAATCTGGAACAATCGCTGTGCGTAAGGG